GTGCAAAGGCCCGCGGAAAGGGGGAGGGGAGCCGGCTGCGGAGGGCGCCCCGGCGCGGTCGCCCCGGCACGCAGGAGGCGCCCCGGGGGCGGGAGGATCCCTCGAAGCAAGCGTGCGGCCGGAATTCCCAGCCGCCTTCGCCCAGGGCTGTGCTGGCCGCCACGGAGTGGGGCGGGACGCGCCTCGGGTCCCCAGGGCGCAGGGTTACGCTCCCGAGGCCAGGGCTCGCTCCCCCGCAGGCTGGCGGCTGCCTGGGGCTGCAGATTCCAGCGGGCTCCTGGCGGGGTGCGCCTCGGCGCAGGGGGTAGCCCTCCTTTACCTAGGCGCCCACTGACTGACCATCCTCTCGACTGAAGCAGCGCCAGTTCCTCCCAACCTGCGCCCTCTGATTAGAATCTGGAGTGGCCGTCCTGTCTCCACCCCTGCTTGGGGCCTTGTCCGCTTGGCCAGCAGTCGCCATCAGGACAGAGCTTCTTCTCTGGTGCGCAGCAACTCCCAGGATCCCCACAGGAAGGTGCCGCACGTGGTGTTTCGGTGTTTCCCTGGGAGAAGCCGGCTGTTAGAAGCCGCCACTTTCCCTGGTGGTTCCTGAGGGTCAGGGGCCTGTGACCCCAATGATGGCCTCTGCCTATTATGTAGAAAGAATTCTGGGCCGGTGACCTCCCTGGCCAGTGGCCCGGTGCCCTTCGTCGTTTGGACCATAACTTGAGGATGACCGTCTTGCCCACACTGCTGGGCTTCAGTGGCTCAGGAGTCATCTTGTTGGGGGCTAGAGGGTGGCAACTGCCTGCCTGCCCGCCTGGGTTGGACCCCCACTGAATGCCTTTCAAACACCTCTGGAAGCTGCTGTGTAGAAAACCTTTCTCTCAGATTTCCTGGCTCAGCATTACCTGGAAAGGTGCTAAAATGCAGGTTCCAGTTCCCAGCATCAAATCAACTGAATCAGAATCTCCAGGTGTGGAGCCTGGGAACCCGCATATTTCGTAGCTTCATGGGGTGGGGGGTCGTGTGCTCATGTTTGAGGACTTCTGCATAAGCTCTTGCAGGTTTTCTCAGATATGTATTCACCTGCCTTTCCCACTAGAGAGCAGGGATGTATTTTATACTTAGCTTACATAGACCAAAAAATTCTTTTTTAATGATTATTTTAATGTGTTTTACATGAAAGTTACTTGTTTCATTATTAATTTTTTAATTTTTCCTTTTATTTTTAAAAAGATTTTTATTTATGCATACAGAACTGGCGGTGTGAAAGGACTCACCAGAGACAAAGTGGGAAGCAGAACAGACAGATTGACTGAAATATACTGTTGAGGGGAGCAGCGGGCGGGTCAGGAGTGGTCTGCTGTACCATGTGGCACCTCCCCCTAGCTGGCTACCAAACTCCTGCTGCAGCTGCTGTGATAGCTTCAGAGTGCTGCACTTTAACCTGTTGCACCACCAGGGAGGGCCCTGAATTTTTATTTTAATTTTTGGAGTTACAGTCTTGTTCTTCCATGTATGTCCATGTCCTACTCACCTTCCCCCAACCCACCTGTGCACACACCCTGTCTGCCTCCCCCTCGTTTACACCCTGTCTGCCTCCCCCTGAGCACCTGCTAGACCCTTAATTCCTGTGAATGGGATGGAAGAAGTAGCCAAATCTAAGACTGGCCACTCAGTCAGAAGAGTTGAAGTGAAGTAGTGCCTTCCCAGGAGTGTCTTGCTGAGCCGCCTCAGTTGTGATGTGCTTCAAATGCCCTATGCTCGGATTAATAAATGTGATCATTTATTTGAGAGCAAAACATGTAGGATTTTTAAAAAGTGTGTCTTTTATATCCCTCCTTTTCCCTTCAGTGCAAGGCACATTGTAAATTCTCATAAATGCAGATTTGTAAATTAGACCTAGATATATTAATTTGGAAAAATTTGCCTAAAGTTTCCTAAAAAAGATTGCCTTAAATTTATACATTCTCATGATACATTCTAATTGATTTGTAAGAGTTCAGCTACCTCAGTATATCAAGGTTTTGATGCACTGGAAACTGGAAGGTCTACTTGCATGATGTAACTTGACTCTTTCAGAGATCCTCAAGCGGTCCTCTGTGCATGAGCTAGCAGTTCTCAGACTGCAATGAGGAATCTTATTTTAAACATATATCCCTAAATTCTACAACCGTAACCTGATCTGTAGGTCAGGAGAAGATTCTGATAATTTCTTTTTTAAAGATTTTTTTATTTATGCACATAGAACTGGGGTACAGGCCAGAGGTGTAGGGGCCATGAGAGGATTCAGCAAAGACAGAGTGGGGAGCAGAACAGGCTGACTGGCTGAAACACACTGCTGGGGGAGCAGCGGGGAGACAGGAGAGGTCTGCCTCGCCTTGTGGGTCACTCCCTGGCCGGGGGTTTTATTCATGTTGAAGCAGCAGCAGCCAACTTCATAATGCCATGCTTTAACCACCTTGAGCCACCAGGGGAGGGCCCAAGAATCTATATTTTTAAAACCTGTGCCACCTAGGGCCCTCCCTGGTGGCGCAGCAGGTTGGAGCACTGCACTGCGAAGCTAAACCAAGCTGTGGCCACTTCAGTGCTAGTTCGATGACAGCCGCAAAGGTGACCCACATGGCACAGGAGACCTCTCCTGACCCTCCCGCTGCTCCCTCAGCAGTGTACTTTGTCGATCTGCTTGTTCTGCTCCCCACTCTGTCTCTGGTGAAGCCTCTCACCATCCCTGCACCTCTGGCCGGTACTCCAGTTCTGTATGCATACATAATTCTTTAAAAAAAAAAAGAAAGAAAGAAAAAGAAATTTTACCTAAATTTAGTATTGAAGGATAAAATGACATATCAGTAATTTTCCTGAATCATCCAAAAGACAGGCGTGGTAGAAAAGAAGCAAGCATCAGTGACTGTTGAGACCGAGTGATAGAGCTAGGCAGCATGTCAGACTAGCCGCTCCAAACAAAAATTGAACTTTTTCAAAATCAGAAGTGTGAGAGGGATAAAGCGCTGGTGACTCCCTCCAATGCAACAGCTGATAAAGCTGTACAGGAGATTCAGAGATTCATGGAATAACCCCTTTGAAACCGGTTTCCCCTCTAGCGTAATCTTAAAGGAAGCCTGGTTAGACCCTTATCCTACCCAGAAGTCTTCTGCAGGTTTGCAAAACTGCCAGAATCCTTTGTGCAGCAAAAGAGAATCCCCTTACTGGCAATCAACAGATAATTGCCTTGGAATTTAAACTGTTAGTGAATACAGAGCCTGGATTGCCCCCCTCCTCCCTCTGACCAATAACAAGATAGTGGGGTGACTGCTTCCTGTGTAATCAGGAACCTAGAGAAGAAATCAGGAGACAGCACAGGGACAACTTGTCAAACTGACTGAGGTAATGGAAGCCTCTCTTTTCCTTGCCTCAGACGCCTTCAGTCTTCTGAGGAGAGTATTTCAGGAAATAAAACTATAAGAAAAGCAAGTGTGGGCTTGCCAAGAAGGCAGGAGAAGAGAACACTATGACCCACCCGCACCCCCGCCTGGCCTGAAGCCCGGTTCTGTGGGGAACAAGACCGTGGAGGAGAGACATTGAGAGGCGCAAAGAGACTTGTGGGTGAGAGACCTCTGTGGGGAGGCTGACCATGGCAGCCGTTACGGGGGTTTGTCCCTCATTTTGCTCCTCTGATGCCAAGTTTCTGGGACCTGCTTCAGAACACTTTCCTGTGCTGATTCCTTGTCAGAAGGTGCCTTAGACTTGTGGCAAGTTTCAGGCCTCAGCTCCACTTCGAGTCAACCCTGTTTGGCTGGCCATTTGCCCGAGAGGGAAAGTGTGATTTGGGGAGTTTTATCAAAACATGTTTATTAAAAATACCTTTATTCTGCCCTCCCTGGTGGCGCATCAGGTTAAAGCACAGCACTAAGATGCGAAAGTCACTTCTGCATGAGTTCAATCCCCGCCTGCCCCGGAGGTGACCCACCTGGTGTGGCACCTGACCCGCCCACTGCTCCCCTCAACAGTATATTTCAGTCCATCTGCCTGTTCTGCTCCCCGCTCTGTCTCTGATGAATCCTCTCACCACCTCTGCACCTCTGGCCTGGACCCCAGTTCTGTATGCACAAATAAATGAATCTTTTTTTTTTAAAAATACCTTTTTTCCTCTCCTCCTAGGTACACATACAAAAGACAGAACAGTGGTGACCTCTAAGACAAAGGACGAAGGGGAGTAGGGAGGACTTCTGGGAACTGAGAAGAGTCTTTTCCTTAACTGTGTGGCAACCACATCTCATTTTACAATAATTTATCAACTTCTACAACTACTTCTGTCCACAGATGTATGTGATAAGTTACACACTTTTTAAGTTTCATAACTTGAAAAGACTAGCAATAAGAGTAAAGTAGAAAATGTCAGGCAGATTTGTCAATTAGCTGAAGTTATGTTGAGACAAAGCTTCAATGCAGACTGAAAGTTCCAGGGAGTAACTGATAAACTCTCAAGGCCACACACCTGACTTACCTGCACCTGCTTCTGTACTCCCTGCTTGCAAATGTACCCCTGCTGATGCAATACATACTCTAGTACCTCACTGCTCCACTCAAACTTTGGAGAAAGCTCTCCTCTGGGCCCACCAGTGTAAATAAAGACTTCCACCCTCCTCTTTGAGTGCTGCCTGGTTCCCTAACAGAATTCTGCCATACAAGAGCAGATCTGATTCCCTGAAGTTCAATGTTCAATGTTAGCCTCAACAAGTGAAAATGGGAAAAACTCAACAAGTGAAAATGGGCAGAGGTGTGAGTTTAAACCTTAAAGTTTCATAAAGTGAGCTCCCCAAAACACTAGCTCTGGAGGGTGTCAAGTCAATGACTAAGCTGGGAGATGCTGGATTAAATGGTCGATACACATACCCCCAGGAAGGCAGTACTCCAAACACCATGAACTTGACACACTTATTGTCTAAAATTAAACTGCCTTGCTCCCTTAACTTGTTACTGTGTTCTGAAAGTGGAAAAGGAGGGACAGACTGTTTATCTTCGGATTGATAAACCTGTGAAGTAACATGCTGCCTCAGATTTGCAGAGCTTCATCCCTCTCCAGACCTAGCCCCTGGCTCTTGGAGACTCTGGATACTGTGGGCCGGGCTCATGGCCTCCTCCCCACTGGGTACTGGTGGCTGCCTTGACTTTCTGGGCGGCCCACTGTGCCCACTGCAGCTCCAGCATCCAGCCCAACCCAACTGCACTGCAGAAGCTCTGCTCCCCACCACTCCCCCTCCCCCCAATCCCACAGCATCACCAGAAGCACCACACAGGATGGTGTGGCATCTAGCTCCCCACAAAGCTAAGAGAACCTGAGTGTGCCAGGGAATAACATTGTTCTGGGAAGCAAAGGACAGTCTGAGAAACGGGGGGAGGGAGCCAGGAGACAGGAAAGGAGGCAGCAGATAAGACTCTCTTCCTCTGGATAAACCACTCTGAGCTGCCCTGCGTTCTTTAAGATCTGTTGGAAACATTTTACAGGCCTGGGGAACCTGTGATCAGCCCAGTCATGTGACTCTTGGTTTTGGTTTCCCTCCATTTTCCTTCCCCAGGCTGGGATCACCTCTGATACAGCATTTAAGCACTGCCTTGGGCTGTTTTCTGGAGAACCAGTGAGCAAAGCATAGAAGGGAGTTCTTGGGAGCATCTCAGGGCCAGGAGCCAGGAGCACTCACTGGGAAGGGCTGGTTTTAAGAACTCCTGGACAGGACAGGGCCCTGGTTTACCCTTAACTTGTGCCTCCTACAGAAAAATTTCCATCACACTGAATTCTCTCCAGGGGGGAAAAAGGTTGAATGACACCCCAGTTCCTTAGGGAATAATAAGAATAGAGCACTGTGCATTTATTAAAACAACAATCAACACAAACTCAGCTACCAACCCCGTGTCTGGGAGAGCTGTTGACATACAGTATTATTGTCCCTTCCCAGCGAGCAAGCGCCAACCCTCTCCCCAGGGGGAAGGAGTGGGCAGCTGTCTCATCCTGGTTTCCTTCCCTTCATTCTAGCAATCAACACTCAAGCAATGACCAGGCTTTATCATACAAAAAAGTTCCTTTACAAAAAGCACCAAATTGACATACATATACAAGTATATACAAAAATCACATTTGAAGAATGTACAAAATATTTCATTTTGCACCAACGTAGAAAAGTGTCCTGTGTGGTTATTTCAAGCACGTGTCTGGTTCAGTGGCTGCTGAACACAGCGGTGGGGGTCCTACTCCTAGTCTCTACTCCCTGAGCAGAGAAAAGACACACCTCCCCATTGCCCCTCCAGAGGCCCCCCCACCCCCCCACCCTGGGCCTGGCACGGCGGCCAGGTCCATCCCCACCCTCCCCGTCTCTCTGCATCTGGAGGGTCCTCTCCCTCATCCAGCTTCTTAGTGGTGCCCTGAAAGTAAAAGACAAAGAAACACAAGGTGAGACAGGCCCAGCGGACCCAAGGCTCACCAAGCTGCAGTGACCAAATGATCGGAATTGCGCAGATACTGTGAGATACACAGCCCATCCCAAACTCCTCGGTATTTTTCAACCAAATCAGTAGTTCTGATGGAGGAAGGAATGCAGGGGAGGCGTCCCAAGATTGATTCACACAAAGGGGGTGGGGACAAGGGGCGACACAACCCTAAAATCAAGGTCCTCAGGCGCTAAAGCCCAGGATGCCTGGAAGCAGGGATGGGGATACGTGCAGGAGGTCCCGCTGGTAACAGACTGTTGGGGGCGGTGCCTGGAGCTCAGACCCAAAAGGTGAAAGATAAGGAGGTGGAGATGAAGCTCCCCAGGAAATCTCCCCTCAAGTTCTACATAGATATTCAAATGAGCAACTACTTGCTAGCAAGGATGGGCCCCTCCCTACCCCACCTGAAGAAGAGGATAAAAAAACAAATGCTACCCCCATGAACGGGTAGCTCTTCTGCCCGCTTGTGCCTAAGCAAGTGTCTTTTCCTTTCCAGTCTTTCTAATAAACTTCCTCTTTAAATAAGTCTCTGCCTCATGGAGAATCTTGCCTCGCCACTGAAAGGGGAGCTCTGGTGAAACCTTTCCCAGAGTGAACCCAGGACCCTGAACTCCAAAAGACATCAGTTCCAACATCTATGACTTGAAAAATACCAAGAATAGCAAACATGCTAATTGAAATAGATGCTTAGCAAACAGCCATCCCTCACTGGGGCTCTCCATGGTCACCCAGTGGGGTCAGCACTCCTTTGCCCCCATCTGAAGAGCAGCCCAAGACTCAGAGATGTGAACTGCCCACGACCACCCGCCCCATGCTCCGGCCCCCCGGCCAAGCTGCCTTCAGAGCCTAGGCTCATGGCCACGCCCACCTGGTTGGCAAACTCAGAGGCCTGCAGATGACACAAATGAGTGCAGTGGGCAGGCTGGTGGTGATGGGCTGGGCAGCCCAGCAAAGGTGCCAAGCCAAGGGCCAGCCACTGGCTGGGACCAGGGAGCAGTGAAGCCAGCCCGGCCTTGGTTGTTTTCCAAATTTTCACAAGCAATTGGGAATCAGATTCTTATTTGAAATATCCTTAAAAATAAAAAAATAAAAAATCTTTCCATTTTTAAATTAACTACTCATGTAAAAAGCTTAATCACTCCCCTGGCCAAGCAAAACCTCCCAGTGTGGCCACGCCCAGCTCCTGAGCGCCCCCTTCTACCTCTGCTGCACTGTTCCAGGTTGGGGGGGCCTTCCAACAAAACCTGGAAGCCTTTATAAACAGATTGGGGTTTTTCCCTAAGAGTAAAGGAAGATTTTACCCTTAAAATCTAAAAACACTCTTTGGCTGCGGCTCTGCTGTGTCTGGCACCCGCTATGCACCGGGGAGGCCTCTCCAGTCACTGAGGGGATGAGGGATGGCAGGCAGACAGCTTACCTTCTTCCTTCCCTTCTGTGGACGTTTCTTCTTCCTGACCCTCTTCTTCAAAGAACTCTTCCTCTTCCTCTTCTGCAAGTGACAAAGAGCAATTGTATTGAGATTCGGCCTTCCTCAGAGAAGCGGCTGGGAGGGGAAGCAGGCCCCGGCAGCACTTCTTTGCCCTGCCCCCTGCTGGGGTCAAAGGGCCACTTGAGACCCAGTGGCCTAGGAGGTGAGGGGTTTGTTGGCCCTAGCAGCAGAGCGGGCCTCCAGGCCACCCCCTTCCCATCTCCTCCAAGGGGGGAGGTTCTGGCTGCTGCTCCTTTGTTCTGGTGCAAAGGCAGTGGCTTTATCACCTGACCTGCCTGTGACCAGAGGGACTCTGAAGGAGCACACTTGAGCCGGTGTGCAGCTCTCCTTGGACGGACAAACATCACCTGAGGAGAAGGGGCGAGCACCTGGTCAGAGTCCTTGTCCCAAAGGAATTCACTCGGCTTTTGATTTTGAAACCCGCTTCTAACTCTCTCTGAGCAGCTCTGCTCATTCCTTCCCTTAGGGGTTGGGGGGTGGAGGGGGTTCTTCTGGGGCCACCTGCTTCTCTGAGGCTGAGTCCCAGACAGACAGGAGACTAGCTGCAAGGGTGACCCCACTTTCCCACCCAGGGGTATCCCCCTCAGGCTCTTCCCAGGCAATATGCCCCTTCCTCACCCCACTCCTAAACCACTTTAATTCTTTGGGGTCACCCAGACAGCATTTGTCAAGTGTTGGGACAGGCTTAAAGGGCTAATGTCTCCAAGGTGATAACCAAAATTCTGCCCTGTGGCCCGGATCTGTGTTTAAAACAGTTTTGTTTTTAATCCCAATTACTACTCAGAATGCATTTGCTGATTCACTTGCTAAGTGCTGTACTTGCAAATGCCCCTAATCCCGAGGCTGTTTATTTAGCTCTGTGTCCTTGAGCAAATAGTTGACCCTCCCTTAGCTTTATTCCTCAACTTTACTACCACGGAGATAACAGAACCTACTTGGTATGAACTGACAGAATTTATTTCCCCGAGGCTTAATGCTCAGGACTTAGAAAGTGCTGCCAGGCCCTCCCTGGTGGCGCAACGGGTTAGGACTCAGCACTACAGGCTAGCAGCAGCCCCTTCAGTGTGAGTTCGATCCCCAGTCCCTGAGGTGACCCACATGGCACAGCAGACCTCTCCTATCTTGCCCATACTTCGTCAGTCGGCCTGTTCTGCTCCCCACTACGTCTCTGGTGAATCCTCTCCCGGCCCCTGAACCTCTGGCCTGCACCCCTGAATAAACAAATAAATCTTTAAAAAAAGAAAGAAAGGAACTCACCCCAGTTTTACTGAGGTGGACCCCAAGGCTCAGGGAGCTCATGGGCGGCAGTGCAGGCCACACGACCAGCGCCCTGCGGGTGCCTGAGCAGATCTACAGGACAGGCACACCCCCAAGTCCACTGGCATCTCAGCTTTGGGGTGTGTTTTGTTCCTACCCACAAATGGGTTTTATAGGGGTTCAGAGAACAGGCTTAACACCAGATTCTGAAAGCCTGCAGGAGAGCTGACCCGTGCCAAGAACTCCATGTCAAGGCGTTCACTGCCCCTCCCTGCCTTCCTGCTGCTTGGGCCACTCCTCTCTCCTGCCGTCCCTCCCACCCTTATCACAACGCAAGACCAAGGCAGACCTGGGTCTGCCTCTCTGTCACTGAGGACTTCTTTCAGCGAGGTGTCCTTGAACAGATTAACCTCTTTGCTCTTCAGCTGGCTTCCTCATTTTCCATTTTCCCTTACTTCTCCTGTACTGTTGTTATGGCTACATTGTTCCAATTATTACTGGCACTTCGTGGAAGTAAACCCAGAATGTAGATAAGTTAGGATGCCTCACCCTCACCCATACAGCTCAGACTAGCTTTAGATGACAAGCAGTGGTGGAGGAAGGAATGCAGGGGAGTCCGCACAAGACTGATGGGGAGAAGGGGCGAGTGCAGCAACCCACACAGCCATAAAATCAAGGTCCTGGGGCGCCAAAGCCGGGATGCCAGGATGCGGCAGAGAGGTCCCAGCAGATAACAGACTCCTGGGGGCTGTGTCTGAAGCTCAGAACCAAAAGGTAAAAGATGAGACAAGGAGCTGAAGCTCACTAGGGAATCTCGGTCCTCTCAGCTTCTATTCAAAGTCAACAAACCTAGGCTCACAGGGAGTGGGCCCCTCCCAGAGACAAGTGTCTGTGCCAGGGCAGTCTCTGCACCAGCACGGGCAGCTGTCCTGCTCACCTGTGCCTATGCAGGTGTCCTCCCCACCCCCTCTCCTCTGCAGAGCAGCAGCCTCCTGCCTGCACATGACCTGTACCATGACCTCCCTCAGGGCTGACGCTCTCCTGAAGCGCCTGCCTGCAACTATGCAGGTCTCTCTGCATACCTGTCCCTTCCAGGGCAGCTCTTTCTGTCTGTTTGTGCCTTATGCAAGTGTCTTTTTCTCTCCTGTCTCTTTCTAATAAACTTACTCTTTAAACATAACTGAGTCTCTGTCTTGTGGAGAATCTTGCCATGTGCCGCTGAAAGGGGAGCTGTGATGAAACCTTTTCCAGACCCTGAACTCCAAAAGACATCAACTAGTACACATCTAGTCCCTGCAAACTCTTCTGTATCAACATCTTTTTTGTGGCAACAGCACTCTGAGGTGGCCATTTTTAGTAGACTCACTTTTTTTTTTTATTTAAAGATTCATTTATTTATGCATACAAGGACTGGGGTGTAGGACAGAGGTGCGGGGGTGGGAGGTGAGAGGATTCACCACAGACAAGAGTGGGGAGCAGAAAGGGCAGGTGCTGGTGCAGAGACTGCCCTGATACAGACACTTGTCTCTGGGAGGGGTCCACTCCCTGTGAGCCTAGGTTTGTTGACTTTGAATAGAATCTGAGAGGACTGAGATTCCCTAGTGAGCTTCAGCTCCATGTCTCATCTTTTACCTTTTGGTTCTGATGGAAATACACTGCTGAGGGGAGCAGCTGGCAGGACAGGAGATGTTTGAATAGGCCCACTTTTAACATAGCTTTTAAAGTTAGAAAATAAGGCTCAGGATGGTGAAAAGTCTTGCCAAATAAGACTTTAGGGGCACAAAACACAAGAGAAAGATCTGGGATCTGTAGGTCTACGTGACTTCAGGTGCCTCGCTCCTCCTGCCACCCCTGGCTGTCTCCCCACAGGGGATCCATACACTATTTACTGGGCAATGATTGTATCCCAGGCACTGAGCTGGGCTCTTGTTCATTCAGAAGTTGGCACTGATGGAGGAAAGAATGTAGGAGAGGCATCACAAGGCTGAATCACAAGAAGGGATGGGTAAAAGCGGCAGATGCAGCAGCTGACACGGCCTTAACATCAGGCCACCAAAGCCAGGATGCCTTGCGCCCAGGTCAAGACAAGGACATGGAGATGGAGATGAAGCTCACTAAGGAATCTGGACCTCTCAGATTCTATTCAAAGTCAACAAACCCGGGCTCACAAGGAGTGAGCCCCTCCCAGAGAGAAAGCTCTCTACATCAGGGCAGTCTCTCCACCAGCAGGGGGCAGCTGCCCCACTGCCCACCTGGACCTATGCAGGTGCTTCTCTCCACCCACTCTCTCCCTCTGCAGGGCAGCAGCCTCCTGCCTGCCCGCGACCTGTACCATGCCATGACCTCTCTGCACTGATCTCCCTCAGGGGAGGCCTCTTCCTAAGACTGCCCGCCTGCAACCATGCAGGCCTCTTTCCTGGGAAACGTGTCCCTTTCGGGGCAGCTCTTCCTGCCCACTTGCACCTAACCAAGTGTCTTCCCCTCTCCCATCTCTTTCTAATAAACTTCCTCTTAAAAATAACTGAGTTTCTGTCTCATGAAGAATCTCGCCGTGTGCTGCTGAAAGGGGAGCTCTGGTGAAACCTTCCCCAGAGTGAACCCAAGAACCCCAAACTCAAAAGACGACTGTGATATCTGTGATCTCTACTGCATGTTTGCCTGCACAATGGACATACAGGAAAGAATGCTGATTGCCAGGGGTCAAGTTGGGAAACAGACAATATCACCACCAAGTCCTTTACCTGTCCCAAAGTCAATGCCCCTCAGAGTGTCCGCTATGTGCTCCAAGTCCAAAGTAAAGTAGTCCATGTTTTCAAAGCCCTGCTCTGTCTTCCCCAGCTGGCAACCCTTGGAAGCTTCCACAATGCTGTGGGTAAGACAGGGAGAAAGAGAGACAGATATCACTGAACAGTACAGGGAGGGGACATCAGCTCCAACACAGCAGTGTACATGCTTGTGCCACACCCAGGCCTTGCACCCACAGGATTCCCCCAGAAGGTCTAGAGGGTATTTCCCTTCAATCCCAAGCAGAATGGGTGGTCCAAAAAAGCAGGAGATAAAAGAGGTAAGACAGCCTGGGGTGAGTAGCTCCCAGCAGACCTAATGCAAAGGGGGAGATCCTCTGGACAGAAGTAGAGGCTTTGGTGAGGGCTAGGACCATGCATCATGGCCCGAGGGAGACACTGACCTTTTGATGAGCTGCTTGGCACTCTGTAGGGGGAGAGAGAGAGAGCACCAGGTTATCATGGTGGACAGGGGTCCTTGGATCAGCAAAACCAGTGACTGGGTGCTCCATATGGGCACTTGGGGTCAGCCCCTGGCCTAGATGCCACCTGCTGCTGCCCCAAGTGGAACAGCACGTGGACCCTTTCCCTCTGTCCAGGTAAATACAGGTCTGGTCACACTGGGACCCTCCCACTGTCCCAGCAGGAGACTTGGTTGCTAGGGATGTCAGTGCAAACACTCTTAACCCCTGAAATCTCCAAGAAGAAAAACCACTTCCTTATCACCCGTTTATAGCCAATGCCTAACACAAAGCCTGGGTCACACTACACGCCTAGAGAATTTATCCCTTGAACTGTTTCCTAGCTGACTTTTTCCTGTCCCCCCCCCTCCCACAACAAGCCTTCTAGGCAGGGCTGTGGCTCCGTCATTTCTGTCTCCACCTTCTCTCTGGCCTATAATAGATGCTCAATTAACCACCCCCAGGGAGATGTTGGGGTTATTACACACCCACTTTACAGATGAAGAAAGTGAGGCTGTGAAAGGTTTAAATGTTTTGCCCAAGGGTGCATGGGTAGTCAGTGGAGGAACAAGCCTTGAACCTTAGGCAGAGCTGTTGTGTTGAAATGAACCTGCCCATGCCATCCTTGTCCTGCTCACCAGGAGGAAGATGGCCCCTCCAGGCTCATCCAGGGACTGGATGGCCGTCTCCACCAGCTTGGTGGACTTCTCCAGCTGCTCCCGGTACTGCTGGATGAGGGCCTCTATGAAGCTGAGCTTCTCCTCCTGCTCCTGCGTGATCTGCTGCAGCAGCTCACTCTTCTTCTCATCCAGAATGGCGTACAGGACGTCAAACTTCTGGCTCAGCTCTTCCTTCACCTGGTGACTATTTTCCTGGGGACAGAAACCTTGCAGTCACATCCTGGGGAGCCCTACTCCTTATCACTAACGCTTCCTCCTGGGACAGGTAAGCGAGGAACAGGATCTAAAACTGGAAGAGACCTTCCTGTGCTCCCATTTTACAGAAAGCTTCCGAGAAGAGAGCACCGCTGAGGCCTCGTTCCTTCTCAGCACACAGCAACATTTGGAGCTGGTGTCATGGAGAGAAACACGCCTTCCTCAAAATAAACTATGGTCAGTGGGACAATGTATTCCAGGGGTTGTGGCCCCAAGTCACACTCTTCCCTCCATTTTTGTACCAAGACTGGATTCATTTGGTCCTAACCTAGGAGGAGAGGCAATTTCTCCCACTTCAACACAGCTTCAGTACAGATGCTACGCCTTGATCTAAGGAGACCTGTAAAATGGGTGTAACGATAGCATCGTATCAGACTGAAGGTTCCAGTATTCTCCATCCAATTGTGAGCCTCTCACAGGTAACAACACACAACCTTCCTCCACCAGCAATGTGACAATCCTTGTCTCATCTCGCCTCTAGCCCCACCCCAAGTAGAGAGGCAAAATCATGGATGCCTTTGCAGGGATAGGAAAGTTTCCCTTTGCTTCTACAGTCTTGCTACTCAAGTGTGGTCCGTGGACCAGCAATGGGGGGCAAACCCTGGAAACTTATTGGAAATGCCAAACCTCACGCTTCATTGCAGGTCTACTGAATCAGCATGTGAATTTTAACACAAGTCGAGGGTGATTTATTAAGAACTTTCAAGTTTGAGAGACTTAATCTAGGAACCAATGATTACCAAACAGCCAGGGCTGAGTAAATGCTGGGAATTACGGATGGGCCGCCCCCTCGGGTCAGAGCTGCTCTGTCTCGCTCACCACCCCAGCCCCAGGATCCTTAGCCAGCCTGATGCACACCTGCATTAGCGCAGCACATGCTGTAAGAGTGGATGAATATTTGTCAGTTGCTCCCCTGGCATTCCTGCTTGACCACCCCAGGAACCACCTCCAGGCCCAACTGTGTCACAAACCATGGGTGTGCCTTCACCCCAGAGGCAGGTTGCACTGGGAGGCTTTGAACCCCCAGGCCAAGCTCTTCCGCCCCCTACCTTGGTCACTCGACAGGAGTCCTCTAGCTGAGTGATGATGGTCTGCACACGGTCATTCCCTGCCACCAGCATGGAGATGCAGTTACTCAGCTCCGTCTGAGGAGGGAGGAGGGTGTGGGGGTCAGGAAAGCAGAGACAGAAATGTCTCCGGGCCTACTCTTGGGAATAACAGCAAAATGTCCCCGTGCTCTGCCCCCGCCCCCCATTATCTGCTAGAAAGAGCCTCCAGGAGCCCCGAGGTTTTCTCAGGTCCAGAGCAGAATATATCAAAGAGAGACTCTGCACCCACCCCTTATTTTACATGTGAATTCAGAGAGGGGAGGTGAGCAGCTCAAAACACACAGCAAGGGACTGGCAGAGGAGGGGCACATTTCTAGAAAAGCAGGAACAGAGAAAGAATTGCAGGGTTGTAGAAGAGAGAGCAAAAGAAGAGTGGGAGGTGGGGAAGAAAGAGGTGGCTGGTAGGGCTTCCACAGCACCCCCTCCATCCCCCCACTGTCCCCCAGGGGAGGGGCTGGTACAGCCTCCTGCTGCAGGGGAAATGGAAGACTGGAAGGGGTGACAGGCACAGGAAGAGGTGCCTGGGGCCCTGGCGACACCGGGGTGTAGAAGTCATGGCCTGAGAGGCCCTTGGTGGCCTGGCCCTGGGTTCTGGCCTCTCCCCTATGACCGAGCCCGGTGCTCTCAAGTGGTGCTAAGTATAACCCATGAGCTCAGCCACCCCCCAGGGAAGGCAGGGGCTGCCTGTGGCCTGGGAAGTCCCAGAGGGATGATTCCTGAAAGGCCGGCTCAGCACGTCTACAGGGCTCAAATCCACGTCTTGAATCATCAGGGAGGGACGGAAGTGGGCCAGTACCTTCTGTCCCTGGAAGACGCTCTGCAGCGGGGCCACCTCGCAGGCCTGGTGGGCCCCGAACACCTTGCACATGGAGCATGTGGGGACTTCACACGTGAGACAGTAGATGTTGATTTTCTCGTCTTCATGCTCCTTGCACATGGGGTGGCTGCCCTTCTGCAGAGGCCGACTGAAGAAGAGTCACAGGTCATGAGGTGGGGTCCTGCACCCCATCTCTCCTCCCAGCTCAATAAAAACACCTGGCTCCAGCCCTCCCTGGTGGCGCAGCAGGTTAAAGCACTGCACTAAGAAGCTAAAACCACTTCCACATGAGTTCAATCCCCGCCTGCCCTGGAGGTGACCACACGGCGCAGCAGACCTCTCCTGACCCGCCCGCTGCTCCCCTCAGCAGTGTGCTTCATCCATCTGCCTGTTCTGCTCTCCACTCTGTCTCTGGTGAAGCCTCTCGCCACCCCTGAACCTCTGGCCTGTACCCCAGTTCTGTATGCACAAATAAATCTTTTAAAAAAAAAAAAAAAAAGAAAAAAAAAAAACACCTGGCTCCAGATAGGTAACCTGCACTCTGTGATGGCTCCCCCCTCCGTTTCTTTTCACCTTCTAGGTCCCAGGACCAGGGACGCCCAGGACACCAGGCTGTCCTCACATCCTAGGACTGCTACAGCGAGAGAACTAGCCTCAGGCTCTGCCAGTGCAGAGGACAAGGACAGGCCACGCAGCCCAGAACCAGGACTGGAGATTTGTTGTTGTTGTTGTTAAGATGTTTTTTTGTTGTTGTTTTAAGATTTATTTATATATTCAAGAACTGGGGTACAGGCCAGAGATGCGGGGGATGAGAAGATCCGCCAGAGACGGAGCAGGGAGCAGAATAGAAGGGTCTACTGAAATACAGGCTGAGGGGAGCAGCGGGCCAGACAGGAGAGGTCTGCTGCACCATGTGGGTCAGCTCCCTGGCTGGGATGGAACTTGTGGCTGCAGACAGCTTCATAGTGCTGTGCTTAACCCACCACCAGGGAGGGCCATGGAGATATTTTCAAGATGGGAACACTGGGGCCCGGAAAGGTGAGATGACTTGCCCAAGGTTGCCCAGCAAATCAGGCCGCTGGAGTTCATTTGCTCTAATTATAGTCCCCATAGCTCTGGTTCCGGCAGGTCAGGCTCTGGGTGAAGCAATTTACACTCGTGGCCTCACCAACTTCTATATTTAATCCACCACACTGTAACCTCCATCAAAGCAGGGAAACTTGCCTATTCTCTTCAGCCCTGAATCTGCGGTGTACAGTGTTGGCATGGAGGAGGTGGTAATTAAATACAGGTAGAAAAAAATAAATCAGTGAGCATAGCACGAGGGTGCCCAAGCCTAGAGCAGGAAGCGGTGCCGTGGCCCAAGGCCCACAGCGGAGCGCAGACACCCCGCTCAAGCCCTGACTTCGCCCCAGGTCCAGCCTCTTCCTCCTCTTGCTTCTCAGTCACAGGCCTAGATCTCGGCTGCCTTTGTCTTGCTCCACCTGGGGTCTCTGGCAGGTTATTTATGCCTCTCGCAGACCTTTGGAAGGTCGCTTCCTACTGGAGATTCCACTTTTTGAGTCTAGATCTTATGATCCCAGCCAGATCTGTACTCCTTTAGCGCCAGCCAACACCATGTCTACACTGACCCTGACTTCCCAGCCCCACCACAACAGGCACCTCGCAGTTGGTGAGAAACGCCCTTTCTTGGTGTATCTTCTAGCCCAGGGCTCCCCATGCTGGCAGCGGCAGCTTTGGCCAGCTGTCTCTATGATCCTGAGGGTGGGGCAGCTGTGCCCACTGCCCTCCTGGATGCTCATCTTCCCAAACCCAGGTTTTGGCGTCTGGATTCAGATCCCTTTGCCACTTGCTCATTTTGTGACCTTGGACATAGGTATTGACCTCTCTGAGTCTTTGGTTTCCTCCTAAAACTACTGGGATTTTGACGGGAGCTGTCTGATGAGTGTAGGCCTGGCACCCAGCAGACCCTAATAAAGCGTGACTTGTGATAATGACTTGTCATTATGCAGAAAGGACTCTCGAAGGGCTCAAACACAGCCTGCTTTTCAGAAGCCCATATGGGGTGGTGGAGGGGTGTATTTGGTGCAGTATTGATTCTGTCATTATAATAATGATCAATAATATGCTTGTATTTTTATAGTGTTGAACCCGAGCAACTTGAAAGGCAATAACAATTAGGAATATTCACCATGGGTCAGTCAACAGGCTCCTTGCCAGCTTTTACCACTTGCTAGCTGAGTGGCCCAGGACAAACCTCTGGCCCTTTCTGCACCTTCATTTCCTTGCCTTAAAAGAAGCATGCATGAGAGAATGAAATAGGGATGATGCATGGGAATTACTTCAGTCCAGAGCCTTTACATAGTAGCTGCTCAATAAATATTTTATATTTTTAACATATCCCATCAAACCGCTATTTGACAGTCACCATAACAAATCTCACTGTCTCTGTTTGCAGACAGAAAATGAGGGCCAGAGACTTGCCCGAGATCTTACCACATATTAGTAACAGGCTAGCAACAAGGGATTTTCTCGCTGGGACTGACCGGCCGCTCACATTTCCTGCCTGCAGGCAGGCGCTTGGTGATACTTTTGGACCTTAAGGGCGGTGAGGTCAGCAGCTTAGAAGTCTGGTTAGGATGACCTGATTTGTAAGGATCTCCCTGATAGCTGCGTCTGCACAGCGTGAGGCCCAACACTGCGCAGCCTCTACCTCAGCCCCACTGGGCCGCTGTTTTACAACCAGCTCCCTCGGCTAGACAGACGGGGCTCCCACCCAGCCAGGCCACCTCCCAGCTGGGTGACCCAGGGACCTGACTTTAAGGCTTACCTTCATCACCGGTGAAATGGGCCTGAGCAAAGCCAGACTGCTCCATGGGGTTGTTGTGTTCATTGGCATGAACACAACATTCCCCATGACCAGCACTCGCCTCCCAGCAAGTGGGACAAAAGCTGTCGCTACCACCCTGGAGAAGCTGAGTGTGTTCTCACTGGGCATCCTCTCTGCTCATAGGGACACCCTAGCTGGCCCCAGGGCCTCACTCTCCCTCTTGGGCCGCACCAGTATCTCTCGGGAGGGGAGGACGCCCCTCCACGCACGGAGTGTCACCGACAACCGGGTTTGGAGGACAGCGATGAGCCTAGACCTTGGCCAGCGTGGCTTACTCAGCTAGGGGACACACTCCCCTGCAGGTGAAGGCAGAAGGGGCATCTGGGCAGAGGGGCTGGGGCTGGAGGGCGGGCGGCAACCGCGGGCTCACCTGGAGCACTCCTGCTTGTAGATGTCAATGATGTTCTCCACCAGCAGGTTCCTCTGCAGCCCGTATACCCCATGACGATCCATGACCACCTCATGGCGGCAAGAGGGACAGCGGAAACGGCCTCCAGACATGGACACAGAGCCACCCCGGTTGGTCCAGTAGGGATTGGCGGCCTGCGAGCGACAAGGGCAGCTTGACTCCCTCCTCAGCCTCCTCCCTTCCTGATGACCTGTCATCCTTCCCCCTACTGGCTCCAAACACTCTGGCCTCACCCTGTGACCTGGAGCTCCCCATCCTGAGATGAGAACCAGCCCACCTACACCGGAGAAACAACTCTTTGGGGTGTCAGCAGACCTGGGACCAAGTCAGGACTATTCTCTGAATGACTTTGGACCAACAATTGTCACTCTCTGCCTCAGTTTTCCCATTCAGGAGATGGGTGTACTTTCGATGTAAAATAGGGAGAGAGAATCTGGCGAAGTTCTGGGGAACCTTGAGTCCTGCCTCCCATTCGGGAGGTCCACTCCCATTCCCTCCTAGGAGATGGAGCCCCTCTTGTCCCGTTATAAGCAGCAGCCTCAAAAGGGAAGATGCCTCGGCTCCCCCCAGCCCCACCCCCACCCCAGAGCGCTGGGCCCCTGCCACCAGGGAGCTGGCTCCCACCCAGGGGTCTGGTTTCTCTCTCCTCTCTGCCTCCTGCCTCCCCCACTTAACACTTGAGGCACTTGACTCCTGATTGGAGAGTCAGGGGAGCTTTGCAGGGCAGGGTGGGGAGGGGAGACCTGCGTCATGGAGAAGGAACCTGCAGCCAGAGCTGTCTCCCGGGCCCGAGCCCCTCTCCACCAGCCCGGAGGAGGCCTCTGCAGGGGTTCACTTTTGCGGGGACAGAACCAGTCCAGGTTTGGAGATCCCCGGTATGGCCGGCTGACAGAACAGGGCTTTCCTGATGGGAAAACTGAGCCACGACCCTAGACCCCGCCTGCCGGCACTGACCTGGAAGATGTCGTTGGCGCATTTCCGGCAGAGATTGTGCTGGCAGGGCAGGATGACTACAGGCTTGGTGAACATCTCCAGGCAGATGGGGCAGATCAACTGCTTCTCCAGGTTCTCCATGGGGTTCCCATCCTGGATCAGGCCTGACTTATAATCCATATTGTTGGAGGTGTGCGCCCACCTGGCTAAGTGGAGAGGATCTTGCCTTTATCACAAAACACCCGCCTGAAGCCTCTTCGCCTTCTTCTGTTGGCGCCTGAGTTCTGTCTTGGTCTGAGGCCCCTCTGATATTTATAACTGTACCCTGGTCACATGAGCCCAAGAGGGGACCAGCTGAGCATTCCAATGCCAAGTGACTGGCGGGACTTGAGTTTCCTCCAGGTCTGAAAGACCGGCCCTCTCAAATCACATGTAGGGATGAGCAATCACTGTTCCCCAGAGATGGGGGTCGTAAACAAGAACAGCCTGTCCGTGGGCGGTTTTGGGGAGGGCTGGGTACCCGGAGTTTTCTCCAGAAATTAGTCTCCTCCCACACCAGGCTGCTACACCAGGGATTGGGCCCAGTGAGTGGGTCACTGGGATATGCAGGGTCAATAACCAAATCCACCAGCCCCCTGTGGCCCAAGTCAGGTCCATGCCTTCCTCTGGAGTCCTGAGCAGCTTCCAAGATGGAGCATCAGGGTGGCTCCTCCTTCTGAGCCCATCCATCTGCTCAGACCTGAGCACAGGGTGATGCTGGAGACCTTGAGACATCCACCCTGCACCCCCTCCCACTAGACCCCCCCTCGCTGCCCCCACTAGCGTGTCCCGCTGTCCCTGGCCTCTGCTTTCACTGTAATGCAGAGACATTCCTTGGAATGAAGTCCAGCTCTCTCATTCTATAGATGCTGACATGGGTGTCAAGAGAGAGAAAAGACCTCATTCAAAGTCACTTCGAAAGTAAGTGGCAAAGCCAGGAATCTCGGTCATTTATTTCACTTTGCTCAAGCACTGACTGCATCAGGTACCAAGGTGACAGCTTCATGAATGAGCCTTTTCCTTCCCCGAGACGCCCACAGCCTAGGCAGGGAGAGGGGCAGAAATAACTGCCACGTCATGCCAGAGAGCCTCCAAATTTTCCAGATGCTCCCTGTGCTATCTGCGCCGATCTGAATTTTGCTCCATGTCCTCTGGACGCCTTCCATGTTGGTAGGTAAAAAAACACTGAAGCCGATCCAATGGCTGTTTTTAAGGAAGAATCTCATGCAAAAGGACACTAGGGTCCCCAGAATTAAGAAGGGGCGAGAGAGTGGCAACAGCGACCTCAAGAGGAGTGTAGAAGACTGTGGCATACAGGAGAGTGCAGGACCTCCAGGAAGGGGGGCTAAGACAGCGGATTTCACCTGCCCAGCCTCATGGGGAGCTGAAGGATGGAGCCATTAGCCAAGACCCAGTGAGCAGCAGGGCAAAGGAGCCAACCTTGGGGAGGGGAGGAAATGAAGGGAGAAGGAGGGGGAGACCAGTCAGAGCAGAGAAGGAAGTCTCCCGGGCGAGGCGCTAGACAATTCGAGAGCTGGATATTAGTTGCTGGTTTTTGCTGAGCACTGAGGATGCACCAGGCTGGCTCCTCGTTTGATCTTCCATTTCATCCTCTCAACAGTCAACAACGTAAGAACTGCGCTGGCTCCCTTCCACCAGTGAGGAAGCTCAGGCGCAGAGGTGTCAAGCAACTTGTGTGAGGTCACACAGCTTGCAAGAAGTGACTCAAGGACATGGGCCCAGATAGGCCTGACTGAGGAGCCCAAGTTCCTCGTGTCTACTGAGCTGTCGCTCAACACCACCAGGCCAGCCAAGGCTTGGAGGGGGATGGGGATTGAACAGAGGCCACCTCTTCTTCCTGGCACCGGGACCTTGGGCAGCACTGTTTCATGTCAAGTGGGCCTCTCCAGCTCTCGTGTGAATAAACAAACAAACAAGTAAATAAATAAAAGTGGGCCTCTCCACTGGCACAGGAGACAAAGGCCTGAGCCTGTCTGGGAATTCTGTTCTCTGCCCAAGTGCCAAGGAGGCCCAAGGTTAATGGAGCGGGGTAAAGATAAAGGACTTCCTGAGAGAGTATAAAGCACAAGAAAACAACTTCAATCTTGCCTTTGAATGGCTGTGAGAGACCGGAGCAACCATCTCAGCATCTAGAGGATACTAGTCTGAGGAAGAAATCAACCCCCCAAGAATGGCAAAGAGGACCCACAGAAAGCCCCGGAGCCATGGGTACCTGTTAATTTGTCAAACCCCTCCACACCCCCAGGGCTGGCACTCCGTGCTTTAGGATGTGAGACATAGGTCGCAGCAGGTGATCTCCCTGTTATCCTCAGCAGAGAGCTCTCTATGGACACCAACACCGTGTTGTCAACTCCTGCCCTGCAGTGAGCCTCCAATCTCCAATTCCAGTCCTGACCTCCTTCCCTGAGATGCCAATTGCTGGCGGAGGCTCCTGGATGTTCCTGGAGCTCATCAAGCTCACTTTCCCCACCCAGCTCCTCCTCCTGTTTCCCTGTCTCGTGAGCAACATCGCCACTCACCTGTTTGCTCAGACCAGAAAGTCAGCGTTGCTCTTGGACTCCCTTCCTCACGGGTCGGCTTCCTTCATTGAGCTTGGCTCTCCTGGACTTTGAGGAGTACAGGTTTCTGTACTCCTGAGTGCCTGGGGCACTCAGCGCATTTCCTAAACAAGGGATGGGTGAACAAGTAATTCAAATGAGGGAACAAGCAAGGTCACTGTCTGGCTGGGGGAGGTTAGGGAACTGAGCAGGTTTTGTTTTTGTTATTTTTGGCTGAGACAGTGCAGCCAGCGGAGAAAAAGTACTGGAAAGGGGAGAAAAATTCTGAAGCCTTGGGAAGGAGAGGGACACTCCAACCTTGGACTGTCAAGGGAAAGAGAGACACAGGTAAGGGGCTTAGAGGTGTTGGACAGGGGAGAGAAAAGAGCTCATACCAATGACCTTGGTCAAGGGAGAGTTCAGATCAATTCTAATGGTGGGGAAATTTCAAACAGCCAGTGTGAAACAGGCTGCACCCCAGAGAAGGGTGGGAGGATGCCTGGAGCAGGAGAGCCCCGCCGACCTGTCCCCCAGGTTTGGCCATTCTCGGGGCAGCATTCCCAGGGTTCTGTTCTCCAGCCACACTTGGCAGTCCATGTGCAAAGAGCCAGCAAAGGGACAACGGGCTTGACTCCAGCCTGGGCGTTGACAGGGCCAGCACAGCAGAAAGTCAAGGGGTGAGAAAGGGAAATTCCCACCAGGCCACGCTGGGCAGCAAAACATGCCTTGTCATTTAATCTCCACCACAGTCCTGCAAGCGAGGTATTAGGAGCTTCATTTTGCCCAGGAGGAAACCACATTCAGAGAGTTCATTGGTTTGGCCAATGTCACACAGCCACAAGGGGCAGAGTCAGGCTGAGGTTCACATCCAAGGCAGCCTGACTCCTAAAGCCGTGTGCCTCACACGGGAGCATTTATGAGAGCATGTCGCAGGCCGAGTGTTGCGCAAAAGTCCTTTCTACCCAGCCTCTCGTTGGAGCCTCAAAATAACTCAGGGAGGGAGGGATCATGATTTCCTCTGTCTTGAAGCTGAGCGACAGAGACTCAGAGAGGTTAAGTTCCTTGGCCGAAAGCCCCCAGACAGTGAGGGCACAGGCTGGACCCGGGAAGTTATCAATCAGGCCCATGACAGAGGTATTGTTATCAATAACCATTTCCAGCTACTGGAATTTTTATAAAGCTGTGCTGATCGATGAAGAGATAAACACAGAGTATCAGTGGTGCATCAAACCCTGCTTTTAACCCCACAGCTACCCCATCTGCAAGTTTCCTCACTTATTCATTTTTCCTGTTTATTCATGAAAATGTGAAATTTGTAACAAACGTAACGGAACCCAACATCAACTCTTAGCAAATGTTTTCCCAATCTTCCCTCCCTTCTGTATCCCCCTTGTGTTTTCTGAAATATCTCAAAGCCAATCTTAGACATCAAGTCATTTCACCCATAAATATTTCAGTGAGCATTTCTGACCCATAAGGACTTCTTGCACATAATCAACAGGCCATTATCATACCTAATCAAAATAACAAGAATTTCTTGAGATCTAATTTCCAAACTGTTTTTCAGAGGTCACTATTTGTCCTAAGTGACTTTTTTACAGCTAATTTGTCCAAATCAGACCCAAATAAGGCCTTGCACATGGGATTTTGTGTTTTGTCTCTTCCTTTAATGGACAGTCACGACCTTTCCTCTCACCCTTGCTGCCATTGATTTGACAGAGAATGAAGCTGGGTTTGGCAATTCTCATTTTGACATGTCAGGACCTGAAGCTACATGACTGGCGGAATGTCACCCAGCTAAAGACACACTTTACATTTGGGGGTGCTTCAAACTCTGTGTTAGTAATGGGAGGAGCCTTGGTGCCTGAGAGGATCCCAACTGGGTAGGGGCGGGCCAAGCAGCCCAGAGAAAGGGACTGGCAAGAAAAAGGGGAGGTGGAAGGTAATAGTCATAATCCTTGAGTCTGGTTGATTCGTTACTTGCAAGTGGCCCGACATCCACTAGGAGCTTCCTGACACCATTTCATTCAATCCTCACAGCAACTATGAATATATCCTCTTTATCCCCATTTTACAGATGAGGAAACTGAGGAACATATTGGCATATGAAGTTGACTCAGGTCCCATGGCTAGTGCAGGCTGAGCTGGAAAGCCTTATTTAACCCCAAGTTTGTGTTCTTTTGTGTGTGTGTGTGTGTGTGTGTGTGTTTTAAAAAAGATTTATTTATTTATGCACACAAGAGCTGGGGTACAAGTTAGAGATGAGGGGAGTAAGAGCATTCCCCAGAGACAGAGTTGGGAGCAAAAGAGGCAGATGTACTGAAACACACTGCTGAGGGGAGCAGTGGGTGGGGCAGGAGAGGTCTGCTGTGTCCTGTGGGTCAGCTCCCTGGCCGGGATCAAACTGCTGCAGTGGCTGGTGACTGCTTCTCAGTGCTGGAACTTGAACCCCTTGCTCCACTGGGGACGGCCACATGTTCTTTCTGATTGTCACTAGAGCAGGGACTTTCAGAAACCTGAGATTTTGAGGCCTCTTGGCTACAGGAGACAACCCTGGCCTGGTGCCTGGACACCTGGGCTCCACCTTCAGCTCTGCCAGGGACAAGAAATGTGGTACCCGGCAGCTACGCCCTCCTTCCTTCGGCTTCTTCATCTGCCAAATGGAGCAACAGTTAAGGATGACCCCCTGGGGACCTGCTCCCTCCCCAGTGGCTCAGTTCTTGAAGGTGTTCTTACCCCCAAGTGACGCAGGCCTGGGCCGTGAAGCTGGAGAGAAAGTCATCCATCCTCTTCTCCCCTTTCATTTGTGCAAAACTCTGTCTTGTTTAAATTCCTCCTTGGCACATCACAGGCAGATCCCTCCTCGTGAGAGTGCTGTTCTCCCCACGCCTTCCCTGGGCAGGGTTAGGGAGTGGAGGGTTAGCCCTGTCTGTTCCTCTGGACTTCCCCTCAGCCTCTGTGGTGCCTGGAACACCCTCAGGGTGGGAGGGAGGCTGGGGACTGTTTTTCATACAGTTTGAGCCCTCGATCATGTGCTTCAGTATCATCCTCATCAAAAAAAAATCATCCTGAATCACAAGACCAGACCAGTGTGTCATTTGATCTAGAGACTCAACCAGAGCAGCTGGCACAGGCAAATCTGTGGGGTCCGGGGCACGACGCGGTGCCCCAATGCCAGGGCGAGCCCACTGGGCCTGGCTCACAAGCCATGGAAGCAGTGTAAAGTATCCTGGGGCCTCACGGCTCAGAGGTGGGTCCTCTGTCTGGGCCGACAATTGCTGTGGACAATCACGGGGCTCTGGGGAGTGGGTGGCTTTCAGAAAAAGGGACTCTATCTTGAAGATTCTGGTGGGAAAAAACACTGAAGTACTTTATAAATTGTGATACTCTTCCTGTTAGAAACTGAGCACAACACACAGGCTTCTGTCCACTGGTGGATCTGAGTCCGCGTTTAGGCCTCTCCACATACCACCTCTGTTACCTTGGCCAGTGGACTTTCATCTCTGCTTCTCGGTTTCCTCATCTGTAACTGAGGGTTGGTAGAGGGCTGATCTTGCTAGGCCTTTCTAGCTCTGAAAGTCTAGGGTTCTGGGCACCTGTCTGCCCCAACACTCTCTGCCTTATGAAAGTGAGTGGCAGGGCAGTGGAAGTGCATTTGACCCAACACATGACATGTGACAGATCCTCAACAAACGCTATCATTAATATTTTCACCATCAAAGGGGAATAACACTAGTTGGCGTGAGTGGCTAGCTCCCTGTGGCCTGTGTGGTACCTCTTGCTGCAAAACAGGTCTTTCTCAAACACTGCAGCTGCAAACAGTAATGAACATTTATTATCTTACATGATTTATAAGGGTCAGAAATTCAAGAGCAGCTAAGTTCTGGCTCAGTGTCTCTTGAGAGACTGTAGCTGAGACATTGGCCAGGGCTGCAGCTCCATATATCTGGAGGCTCAGTGGGAGCTGTAATTCCGAGGTACCTCACAGCCACTTGGTTGGCAGGTGGGTGGGAAGCCCCCCAATCTCTTGGCTCATGGACCCCTTGAGATCCTATAGCATGGTGGAGGGGTTCCCCAGAGTGATGACCCTAAAGAGCAAGCTAGAAAGGGCAATGTCTTTTATGATCTAGCCTCGGATATCTCACATTTTCATTTCCACTATATTCTTTTTTTAAAAAAAGATTTATTTAGGGCCCTCCCTGGTGGCACAGCGGGTTAAAGCACAGCACAAAGAAGCTTAAACCACTTCCGCATGAGTTCGATCCCCGCCTGCCCGGAGGAGATCCACATGGTGAGGCAGACCTCTCCTGACCCGCCAGCTGCTCCCCTCAGCAGTGTGCTTCATCGATCTGCCTGTTCTGTACCCCACTCTGTCTCTGGTGAATCCTTTCACCCTCCGCATCTCTGGCCTGTACCCCAGTTCTGTACGCATTAATAAATAACTCTTTAAAAAAAGATTTATTTATTTATGCATACAGAACTAGGGTACAAACCAGAAGTGTAGTGGGTGAGAGGATTCACCAGAGACAGAGTGGGAAGCAGAATAGGCAGATGTACTGAAATACACTGCTGAGGGGAGCAGCGGGCAGGTCAGGAGAGGTCTGCCACACCATGTTGGTCAGCTCCCGGGTGGGGGACCTAACTCGTGCTGCAGTGGCTTCGGAGAGCCTCATAATATGGTGCCTTAACCCATTGCACCATCAGGGAGAGCCCCATTTTCACTATATTCTATGGGGCACTCAGACCAACCTCCACTCAGTGTGGGAGGGAACAGATAAGGACATGAATAGCAGGAGAACATTATTGAGGAGTCTCTTGAAGGCTGCCTATCACAGGCTGTTCTAAGCATTTAAGAATTATCAATTTCTTTACTAACACATGAGGTCCATTCTGTTATCATCCCCATTTTACAGATGAGGAAACTGAGTTGCAGAGAGATTAAGCAATTTGCCTAAAGTTACACTGCCAGGAAGTGGTCCAGGACACTGTTGTGGGCTGAATGTGTCTCCCCAAAATCCATATGTTAAAGACCTAAACCCAGTGTGATTGTATTTAGAGACGGGTCCCTTGTGAAATAATTAGGGTCATGAGTTGGGGCCCTGGTAAATGGTACCGGGACCCTTAGTGACACAAGAGAAACTACCTTTTCTCTCTCTTCTCACACATGCAGAGAAAAGACCATGTGTGTACACCTGGCAGATGGCAGCCACTTAGAAACCAAAAGAAAAGCTCTTAGAATGAAACTTACCAGGGCAGCATCCTGGTCATGGGCTTCCCAGTCTTCAGCACTGGGGGAAATACATTTCCATTGCATTGTGTTGTTTTGTCTCCACAGTCCAAGCTTACTAGGACAGGCCTTGAACTCAAAGAATTAAGAATTTGAACTTAAGAGAGGTGGGTTGCTTAGCCCTCCCTCTTAAACTTCCCCTCCCTTAACTGCCCCATTATCACTGACCCTGGCTCCCTGCATCTGCCTGGTGCCTGAAAGTAGGGAGAGACCCTCATTGACTCTGTTCCCAGTAGTCTTGGGAACACTGGAAAAAGGGACTAAAGAAAGCCTCATGGCAACTCTGGGCCCAGGGGGCTCTGTGCTGACCCAGATACCTGGTACCTGCACAAGACAGTCTTGGGGTGGGCTAGCTGCCCACCCCACCTGGCTTGCTACTTCCCACCCCCGCCAGTAAACTGGGGTTTGCCACACACACACCCTTGGGATGATCCAGATCATAAACAGTGAGCAGAAGGAAAACAAACTATATTTAAACCTGCAGTTGCTCCATAACCAAAGCTAAAGACAAGTGGCTTGGACAAACAGTAGGAACATAAACAAAGACCAAATGTACATTCCCATAATCCTTTCAAGTTTTAAAACAAGCAAAGAAAACAAAAGCAATAAAGGCCAATGCCCCCTTCCCTAAAGCACAAGCAACCAAACCAAAACAGTTATCATCCCTAGTTAGAAAAAAAAACCTCATTATAAATAACCAGAATTGTTGCGACCCGCAAGCTACCGGCCATGCACTGGCTCCATCCCTCCAAGTGCAATGGGCCGGAACGCCCCTCGGGTGCAAGGGCAAGGAGTCAGGCTTCACGCAGGAGGCTAATCCAAGCCTGGGGAGAGTGGCCAGCATCCATTGCGATCAATGCTCGAGTGATGGCCGCCTTGTCCCGCCGGTGCGCACGCACGGTTCGAAACCAAAGAAATACTAGTAGCAGTAGGCCTGCCACAAGAACTGCAGCAAACATGCCAACACCAACCCACTCCTTGAAAAAGGAAAAAGAGGACCAAAGCCAATCCGTAAACTGGCGCACAGTCACCACTTCAGCCTTGGTCATGTTAAGAGCAACAATTTGTGCAGTAAAGTTATTTTGCAAGCATTCAAATTCCCTCGTCCAATTACCAGCGAGGAGGGAACTCAAGCGGCGCGACTCATTCAATGAAGCATAATAGGGAGTTACACACATATGTGGGGTCTTAGCGACACAGCTAAGGCTAACAATATCAAATAAAGTCAGAACATTACTTTCCATTGATTTTAAATCAATGCGCTTATTTAAAAGTAAGATGCCAGAGGTGAGATGACGATTAAGGCGCTCTTGAGTTTGTAGCGAAGAGGAAGTCTTTTGGATGACCTCGTTAACCACGGCTACCGTTTGAACAGAGGTCTGCATCGCAACCGCAGCGGCGGCAGCCGCACCAATGGACGCAGCTATGGCCGCCACCAGAGCCGCGGTAAGTCCAAAATCGCACCTTGATCGGATCAAGGCGGTGACAGGGAAATCCTGTGGGTTAGCTTGCACTGGCAAAGGAACAAATGTTGGTAGGCGCAGACTAAGAGCATATGTATGTGTCTTTCGCCAACACTGGGATAACAAGCAATTTGTCGTTGTGCAGTCAATAGAAGATTCTGAAGACGCATTAAAAAGCAGAAAAAGAAAAGGGGGGTCGACACAAACAACCCCTCCAGGAGAAGTGAAATTATCCTTCAACCGATGTGTGTGCAAGGTGAGTTTTTTTGAAGTCGTGTTAAGACACCCCGTAACATTAGACAAATGGATAGTCGAGGGCTGCAGATGAATGAAGGGGGAGAGGTCACAAGTCGCACCCTTGACATTTTGAAGAACCCAAGCCGACAGCGGATGGTCGGCGATCAATCGTTTTTCCTTCCAGCGGCCGAATCGGCTGGGCCAGAGGGCCCAACCATCCTTTTGGGCGGGCCTGCGTGTATCCCTGCAATCAGCAAACTCGGGAGGAAAGGTCAACACCGTCTTTCTGCAAGCTGTTAAAGGGTAGGACCTGTTGAAGGTCCAGTTTTCGCTGGTGGAAATGAGGTTGGGAGTGATCGCAGAGACGTTGACCAAAAAGGTGGTAACATTGACAGCATCCGATGTCCCATTTGCAGAACCGGATCCTTGAGTTTTGCCCGCGGCTGCCTGTGTCAGGGCTGAAACAAGCACTGAAGCGGAAAGTCCAGGGTCTAGATGCAAGAGTGGGTCAGCGAATACAGAGAGATTGGTGGCGGAAAGCAGGATGCAGTCAGTGGCATTGAGAGCAACCGAGAAGCACAAGGTCCCGGCCAGGCTGAATCTAGAAGCATTAAATTTTTCTTCTTGGATACTGGTCGGCTTAGGGTTGCAAGGGGTGCCATAGGTGCAAGAAGTAGCATAAAATTGAGGCAAAACCAGGGACTCGTTATGCACAGGAAAAGGAGTGGGCCACGTACGAGTGATGGCCCAGAAATAGTTATCGAGGCTAGCTGAGGGGACTATTATCAGCATCCGCAGGAGCAGGAATGTTCTCGCGACCTTCAGCATCGTCCCCGTCTGGGATTCTCGCCACTTCTCTCGTCAGCCGTGTAGGGAGCCAAATCGGGTCCGGTCGATCCTGTGGGAAAACACAAACAGCCCCTCTGGACCTTTGGAGTACTGGGTCCGGGCCATACCACTTATTGTCAAGAACATCTTTCCACATCACCAGGTGTTTTGATACAGGAGGAGGGGAAGAATGTCGGTCTGCTGCTGAGCGACCATCAGCATCCAATTGCAGAAAATTTAAAGTATAAAGGGCTAAAGCCAGCCTATCACGAGGTGACGCATGGCTAGCCATCCCCCCTTTTTGTTTTTGAAGGAGGGCTTTCAGGGTGCGGTTGGCTCTTTCAACAACGGCCTGGCCCTGGGGGTTGTACGGGAGTCCTGTCTTATGAGATATTTGGAAACGGGAGCAGAAGTCCTTAAACCCGGAAGAACTATAAG